CCTGCCCCACGGCTTCCTCCGCCTGCCCCACGGCCTCCCCCAGGGCGGGCAGCACCCGCCCCAGGGCAGCCTCCAGCACCCGGGCCCCCAGTGGGTGCCCCGCTGGTGCCCCCAGGCCCCCCACCACCAAGGGGGGCAGCACCCGCCCCAGCATCCCCAGGGGGGCCTGGGGCAGCAGTGCCTGCAGCACCCGCGACCCCCCCGGGTCCAGGGCCACCCCCAGCCCTGCTGCTGCTGCCTCCGCCAGCACGTTGGGGGCAAAAAGGGCTGCAAGAGAGCAAAAAACAGAAGGAACTCCTTCATTACCCCCAAAATGCATAAAGATCCCTTGGAAAACTAAACAGCTTCTCAAAATACAGTTATTTAACCCAAATACTCTAAATGTATCCTCCCAAGAGCTACACAATAACCCCAAACACCCCCAAAGACACTCAGGGTTCCTCCAAACCTGCCCACAGACCCCAAAACCCACTCAGAGATCCCCAAAACCCCTCAAAATCCCCCTAGATCTGCTTATGGACCCCCAGAGCCCTTCATGATGCTGCAATACATGTTCACAGACCCCCAAAACCTCTCAGGGCACCCCCAAATCTGCCCAGAGACCCCAAAAACCCCTGAGGGACCCCCCAAAACCCCTCAAAATCCCCCTACATCCAATTATGGACCCTAGATCCATATGAACTTCTCTAGATCTGCTTACGGACCCCCAAAACTCCTCAGGACGTTGCAATGTATGTATGTTCACAGACCCCAAAAACCTCTCAGAGACCCCAACTCCTCTCAAGATCCCACCGAATCTCCTCACGGACCCCAAAAACCCCTCAGGAAGCCTCAAAACCCCCTCAAAATCCCTCTAGATCTGCTTACGGACCCCCAAAACCCCTCATGATGATGCAATAGATGTTCACAGACCCCCAAAACCTCTCAGGGCGCCCCCAAATCTGCTCACAGACCCCAAAAACCCTTCAGAACGCTCCAAAACCCACTCAGAAAGCCCCCAAACCCTTCAAAATCCTTCTAGATCTGCTTCCGGACCCCCAAAACCCTTCATGTTGCTGCAATGTATGTTCAGGGCGCCCCCCAATCTGCTCACAGACTCTAAAAACGCCTCAGAGACCCCCAACGCCCCTCAAGACCTCGCCAAATCCCCTCAGGGACCCCCACCCCCGGTCCGCTCCTCACCGAGCTCTTCCGCGCTCAGCCCCTCCTGCAACGTCTCCAGGGCCCGTCGGAAATACTCGGCAGCATCGGGCTCCAGCCGCGGCCGCAGCCGCGGGCCCGGCCCCGCC